AGTAACCTCTTCATTTTTGATATGAGACTAGCATGCAAAAAAAAAAAATGGACGATCATTTATCCGGTATGCTCATGTATACGAGGCTTAAGAATTGGGCTAGATTGCATGAATATGTAATCTCTACAGTACATGATACCTGCAGACACTGCTGGCCAACACTTATCAGGAATACTGATCAGACAAAGTAGAAAGCCCTGTTGGATGGATATTGATTAAGCAAAGCTAAAGGTTTATGCAAAGTGTCTTCTCATCCTGCTCCATAGGCCTAAATACAAATATTCAGGGGGTTTTGATCATTACATATGCCTGACAGTATCTGCATCATGTCTGAATGTCCAAATGTCCCAAATATATGACCTGCTGGCCAGTGGCACTCCAAACAAACCATTGTAGTGTTCATTGCACATGTAGCGCTGCTCCAGACTCTGCTCGTTGCCCTCGGTCTTGAGTAAAAGAGGAGCTGGCTGTGGGAGTTCATCCATGCTCTGTTGTGTCACAGTGTCTTTGTAAAGATGGCGGTACACTAGTCACATCACTCATTTAAAAAAAAACTTTATTAAATGTCAGTTTTCCAGCAGTCCCTCTCAGTTGGCATGCCTCCTAATGCATTTCACCCTGATTGGGCTTAATGGTAGAGACATCAATTGGGGTGGACACTGGCAAAAATACATACCTTGAATAACATTGTTTGAAGTTTGTGTGATATGAATAATGTTTGCCCATCCTCGTAAAAGCACTGTGACTCCAGACAAACTGCTACATACATCATTAAAATACATACTGTATGTGCTCACTATTTTCCTGCTAGGGTAAATTTGATTTACACACATTTTCCACAAAGACACTTGGGCAACACACATAATTCCCAATTAAGCAATATGTTTTCTTGGTTCAGCAATTGGCTTCAAATGGCCACCTTCTCCACCTTCAGCTTCCTTAATGAGTAAATGAGTATCATCACCTCCATTTAGTGGGCAGGGAGCTGACCCAAGGAGCAGTAATGCTAAACCATGGAGTGCCAGAGTGATCTTAATGCATAGCAGATGTGTGTGTATGACTAGAATGACTGTGTATTTGCCTAGAGTTCCACTTTAAAAGAAGGAGCAGAAGATGGGTAGAAAGGAACCGAAATGGAGCAGGCTGGAGGGGACAGCATGTAAACTGAAGTGTCAGATCATCCCTAAATAGCAGTCTGCTACAGAATGGCATGAAGCTTGTAGGTGGGCCCAAACTCACTGCACGCAGGGGAAGATAACTTACATGGCGATGCATCAAAGTATATTACTGTGGTAATGGTGAAGGAGAACTCTGCAGACACGGCAACAACAAACTAAAACACTTATAATGACCCAGTCAAGCACCTTGACAGACTGTTGACAGGATCCAACAGAGGAGGCAGCAGGAAGGCAGACCGGTAATTGGGCCTTTTTATCTAGAAGGCCCAAGGCACAGCGACAGTTCCTACTCTGTCCCTTCTCCAAAGGAACCTGAACCTATGCTATGCCCTTTGTCCCTAGCCAGCTAGAGATTTGTCCCTGACCTAACCGCTACGCAGAATGTGCACCAACCGGAAGGGGACAGTGCTTTATATAAGCACTGCCCACATCAATGATGGCCGCTGGTCAGGGGCAGACTGACAACTCATGGGGCCCCCGGGCAATAGGAGATCATGGGGCCCCTGTGTCCTTGCCCACACTCAAAGCACACCCAAAAAAGCCTATAAAAAGTACCGGGGCACTTCATGGGGTCCCCTACTGATCCCGGGCCCTCGGGCAGTACCCGAGTGCTTGAATGGTCAGTCCACCCCTGCCGCTGGTTCAATCAGGGCAGCAGCATCCAATCAGACAGCTGCTCCCCCGATGATACCTACAGAGGTCTTGGAGGCTCTTGGTTCCCCCTTGTCCTCCTCCCACATGGCAGTCGCTGAACAGTGCTACCCCTGCAGGGAGGCTACTCTACATCGGCCTACATGCTAAGTTTGAACATTTTCAATGGGGCACAGTGGGATTTTCACCATCAGCTAATTTTAAATGATTGTACCAACATGTACAACTTATTAAGTAATACAATTTTTCCTATGTATACTTTATAACTTTTTATGTACACATTTGCTCAATATACAGTATACACCCACCTTGCTTCCTGCCTAATAGTACCGCATGGTACCTGTGCTTGAGCGCTCCCCTCTCTCCATGTAAGTCATGTCTGACTGTGCAGCACTCACATGAACTACAGTACTGAGAGTATGGTACAGATACAATTCCAGGTATGTGTTGAGTCAAAATAGGCGATGACAATAATTTACAAAGTTAAAATGCATGTCCGAACAAAACTTTCTGTCCTGTTGCCAATGTTTTACTAGTCAGGAAGTGAGGGGAACTCCATCAGCAAGACAGACAGAAATAAAAATGGCTTTCTTTAGTAGAGTAGAGGATAGGCTAGAATCTCTGTTAGATTTTTATTTCTGTATGTGTTTTCTGTTCTAGATTTCTTTTGCTCACTTTCTGTCTAGTAAAACTGTTGTCAATAGGACAGGAAGTAAGGATAAGGGCTTATTCGCATGGCCGCACACCACCCAGAATGTCCTATTTCTGCAGCGGATATGCCCAGGCAGACTTCAACAAAATGGTGGCCATCTGCACATAGACAATGGCCTCTATGATTAAGCCCCCAAAAAGGCAAAATGCATCTGAGGAGTTCTGAGGTGTTCTCTCCTCTCTTTCTGTCTTAGTGAAGAACAGGAACTGAAGGCATCTTTAACCCATCCCGTTCACATTCACAGGAAGTTGATGTTCGTGTGCAGAGTTCCACCATTTTGTTGAAGTCTACTAGAGCCTGACAAGCTGATCCTGACTGTCTTGCACTAGTCTATTCACATACTGATCTGACTGACTCAGGTTTCAGGGGCATTTGAGGGGTACATCCAGACGTTTAACTTCAGCTGCCTAACTTGTGCAAATCTGGCTCTGAGGAAGAGGCAAGTCCTCGAAACGCGTCAGTCTTTTGGATGTCTATACTCCCTATTGCGGACTGTTCTTTTATGATGTGCCTTGACTATATTGTCATTTGTGAGTACAACACCTACTTTATTTCTTATTAAACATTTTTTATGGTAATGCACTAGGCCTGTGCATTACCCTCTCTTTGTTCTTTCCCCATTCAGTATATTTGGATTCCCCCGGTCCATTTGAGGGCAGCAAGGTGTGCATGTTCCAGGACATTCTTAATGTGGTTGTAGCCTGCATCGAGTCCATCCCCAAGCGCAGGAGCATTTGTGTTTGCTGGTTCTTTGCAAATCAATAACAGGCTGGGAGGCTTCATGCAGTTAAGGACAAATGAGCGGCCCTGGATGCAAACAGTCTGTGCATAGGGTTCCTTATCTGACATAGCTGTATGCCATTGCTTCTTTAACACTTACATGCACAAAGCCACAAACAATGTCAGCTTGTCTTTAATAGAAACATGTTTCCTATCTGCAGTTGATAACAAACACCTGACCATATCCATTGCAGAAATATTCTCATCTGGGTGGTATAGGGTCATGAATGACCGCAAATGAGGCCTTAATCTCTCTAAACAGGGCAAGCTTTAATTATTTTGTTGCCCTGCTTTACATTATTATATATGTCATAAAGACATAATACTTAAACCTCTTCTCGTCTGGCCCATGTCGATAAATGGCTGGAAGGGAGCGCTGCCGATGCAGGTGGACGTTTCTAAACATCCCCCGCATCCATTGCTTGTGTGCGCTCCCTGGGAACACAGATCACTGTACGGGACCTCTGTGTGAGATCCCGATTCATGTGATCACTGATTGGGCAATGAGTGATCACATGAATAGTGATAAGCAAGATGTCACTTCCCGGACATCATTGCTTGCTAGTGAAATCTGTGAATGATCACAGAGAACACATGGTACAAGTCTTGTACCATGTGACAAGCTGTGACCAATCACAACTTGCACAGCATTTCTCAATGGCTGCAGGAATGCAGCCAGAGAGAAGGAGAAATTATTGCTTTTACAGCCTTTATGGGTGTAAAAGCAATCAGTGTAAAAAAAAACCATCATCCCCCACAAGTAGTACAGTGTCACTATGGTGACACTGTACTGCTAGGGTGACAGTATGTTAAAAAAAAATAATAATATAAAAAAAGTAATTCTTTGCTATAAGCAAATTGCGTAAAAAAAAAAATACTGATCACTTCCCCAAAGTAGTGCAATGTTACTATGGCAACATTATACTACTTTGGTCATAGTGAAAGATGAAAAAAAAATCTTAAAAAAAGAGAAAAAAAATGTAATCAAAAATTAAAAATAATAATAAAAAATAAAATTAAAAATAAATTATAATTTTTTTTCGTACTGTCACCAGTCAGTGTCCCTGATCACAGCCATGCCAGTTATACAATAATGCTGTACTGCACTGATGACAGTATGTAAAAATAAAAAAAATCAAGAAAATCATTTTTTTTAATTTCTTAATTTTTCAAAAAATGATGACAAAAAAATTACAACTTCAAAAAACTCGCCATGCCTCTTATGAAGTACTTTGGATTGTCTACTTTGCAAAAAAAAGGGTCATTTGGGGGATATCTGTATTGTTCTGACATTCCTGGACCTCAAGAAATTAGATTGGCTCTCATTACTTCAGGATTGATCAATTTTCAGATATATCCCATAATTTGTGAACTCTATAACTTTCCTACAGAGTAAATAATACATCCTAATTTGGGTTATTTTCACCAAAGACATGTAGTAGAATACATCTTGGCCTAAATTTATGAAGAACAATTATTTATTTGCAAACTTTTAGAACAGAAACAAAGGAAAACTTTTTTTTTTTCAAAATTGTAGGTCTTTTTTTGTTAATTTAGCAAAAAAAAATAAACCCCAGTGGTGATTGCCGTATTTTTCGCTCCATAAGACGCACCTAGGTTTTAGAGGTGAAAAACAAGAAAAAAAATATTCTGAACCAATGGACTGCAGACATAGTACAGAAAATGACCAGAGACTGCGGACACAGTACAGGAGATGACCAGAGACTGCGGACACAGTACAGGAGATGACCAGAGACTGCGGACACAGTACAGGAGATGACCAGAGACTGCAGACACAGTACAGGAGATGACCAGAGACTGCGGACACAGTACAGGGGATGACCAGAGACTGCGGACACAGTACAGGAGATGACCAGAGACTGCGGACACAGTACAGGGGATGACCAGAGACTGCGGACACAGTACAGGAGATGACCAGAGACTGCGGACACAGTACAGGAGATGACCAGAGACTGCGGGCATAGTACAGGAGATGACCAGAGACTGCGGACACAGTACAGGAGATGACCAGAGACTGCGGACACAGTACAGGAGATGACCAGAGACTGCGGACACAGTACAGGAGATGACCAGAGACTGCGGACACAGTACAGGAGATGACCAGAGACTGCAGACACAGTACAGGAGATGACCAGAGACTGCGGACATAGTACAGGAGATGACCAGAGACTGCGGACATAGTACAGGAGATGACCAGAGAATGCGGACCTTTGGGAAAGGAGGGCTGTCACAGCCGGGTGCCCACACTAAAGATGCCGGTGCGGGAAGACTGTACAGCGCTGTTCGAGGAACAGGTAAGGTCCTGCTGCAGAGAAGAGCTGAGCGGCCAGCCCGGTATTCTGACACGGTGGCGGAGGCAGAAATACCGGACCGGCCGCTCCATATTCGTTCCATAAGACGCACTGACATTTTCCCCCATTTTTGGGGGGAAAAAAGGTGTCTTATGGAGCAAAAAATACGGTAATTACCACCAAAAGAAAGCTCTAGTTGTGTGAAGAAAATGATAAAATTTTAGTTTGGGTACAGTGTTGTATGACCGCGCAATTGTCATTCAAAGTGTGAGAGCGCTGAAACCTGAAAATTGTCCTGGGCAGGAAGGGGATAAAAGTGCCTGGTATTGACGTGGTTAAAAAATGTGGTAAAAGACGTTTTTTTTTCCTTGCATGTGTGTGATTGATTATTTTTTCCAAAGTGAAGCTTCACCTCATTTACTAAATGTTGACGCAACTGCACTAGCGGAATGTACAGTCTATTTTCCCCTAGTAAATTACCCCTATAGGCTTACATAGAGGCACTTTTTACAGGCTGGAAAAAAAAAAACAAAGAAACATTAAATGCCTGTAAAAGCAGCATTTTTAAAGCATGATGCATGAGGCCTTTATCAGTAGCTGCTTGTATGTGGAATATGTATTCTATTTTGCGGAGTAGAGTACATTGGCAAACCTTGGACATCTGTGTCCACCATTCCCTATGGCAACAAGCAAATTCTGAAACTATATTGTTGGATACAAACACCGGAGACATACCAGAACTAGATAGGAAATAAACACCATTTATACATGTGATGATTTTGTTTTGCTACGTGATCTCTAATTTACTTTACATTGTAGAAGGAGGGTGTGGGGTGCCGGACTGTCCTTTGTTTTTCAGTGTTTCTCATTGAGTGTCCTTCACTGTAGAGGGAATCATCTCCCTTAGGCAGCTCTCCAAGGCGAGGATTGGCTAGTAACCTGTGAACAACTAGGCATGAAAGAAGGAAAACGCTAGAAGCCAGTCATGTAGGGTCCAGATAAAACTTTATTTGTAGTATCAATTTGTAAAAAAAAGTTCAGGGTTCAAAGGAAACGTCTTTTTCAAACCAGCGTCTGAAGTGATCCTTCCTGCACAGAATCCTAAAACCCTTCAGGAACCTTCCTATCTCACCAGTACAGAGTACATCTTTTTAGCAATACAAAGGGGGGGCCCCAAAAAAGCATTTAATTTTTACTAATCAAGATTACAAACTAAGTTTTATCTGGGCTCTACACGACTGGCGTCTGGCGCTTTCCTCTTTGCATGCCTAATTTATTTTGGAGGAGACAGAGATTCACTTAAAAATCAGGAACTGTCCTTTCATATTGGAGACAGTGGAAGACGGTGAAGTGCAAATCAGCACACAAATGATTGTTTTAGGTATTGTAATATGGAAAGTAGCCAGTAATAAAAAAGAGTTAGTGTATCCATTAATGTATTTGCAGAATTCAGAGTCGTCATTCACCGTGTGAAGCACAGAACAGATATAAACTATAAAAACAGGAATACAACAAATCAGACAAACACAGTATTGCTGCATCAGATATAAAACCTCCTCTGAATACAATCTGCAGCAATCCACCACCGCATCCCCTGATCAGACATCACACTCTGTCTGATGTCACTATCATACACCACCCAGCTGTCTGAAATCCACCTTCCCTCTACTCCCCCCCGACAACGCGTCCTACCCTCCTCTACACTCCCCCTTCTCCCATCCTCTTTCCCCTGTATCTTGCCTTCTGAAATTACCTCCCACTCAGAAGTACTAACCTCCCTCTTCTTCCCTTTATTTCTTGTTCCTTGTCCGACTGTTAAAGTGTTACTAAACCAACAACAGTAAAATCAGTCTGTATATGCAGTACGGCATGCTTGTTATACTCCCTGTGGAGCCTAAGGGGTTAATCTTCTGCATTGTGTAAAAAAGATGTTTAATCCTGTCTTATCTGATCCTCCCCTTCTTCTGCTGTCCCCAATCCATCTGCTGATAGAACAGAGCCTTGGGGGCAAGCTGAACATGCTCAGCTTGGTGTGTATTGCTAGAGGTTTTTTTTTCTTGGAAAAGTACATGTGATCAGCACATGATCAATTAGCGCTGTCCAGACAGAGGGTCAGGGGTAATGCAGCCTCATAGGACAATCAGGGAAGAATGAAAATTCCTCCTACAATCAGTGCTCTTCTGGTATTTAGCAGTTTATATTTACCAAAATATTTGCATTTCATGTTCTGTGTACTGTGGGAGACCAGATATAGTGAATGCAGGGTCCTGGGTTTAGTAACCCTGCACTTTAAAGTGTTACTAAACCCACAACAGTAAGATCAGTCTGTATATGCAGCAAAGCATGCTTGTTATACTCACTGTGGAGCCTAAGGGGTTAATCTTCTGCATTCTGTAAAAAATATGTTTGATCCTGTCTTCTCTGCCCCTCCTCTTGTTGAAATGACCACCTGATACAGACTGAATCTGTAGTCACATGCACATGCTCAGTTTGGTGTGTATTGCTAGAGAGGTTTTTTTTTTTTCCTTTGGAGAGTGCATGTGATCAGCACAGGGCCAATCAGAACTGTCCAGACAGAGGGTCAGGGGGTTTCACATCCTCCTAGAGCAGAAAGAATACTCCTCCTACAAGCTTTAACCAGTGCTCTGCTGAAGTCACAAGATTGCTCTAACTGCTGTTGAGAAAAGGTATTTAGCAGTTTATATTTACTAAAATTGCATTTCCATGCTCTGTTTACTGTGGGAGACCAGATATAGTGAATGCAGGGTCCTGGGTTTAGTAACACTTTTGTTCACACTTGTGGTTGGGGGATGGTAAAAATGCATGGATGAAATATATTTTACTGCCTCCAACCACTCCCCCTCAAGCTACAAAGACAGCAGAGGAGGGGTGTACATATGCACTCTGATGAGTGATCCAAATGTAGTGCGCTCTTCAGAGGGTACCACATGTGAAAAGGAACAATATGTTAGATAGGGCTCATATACACATGTGGCACCCTCTGAAAAGCAGGCCATGCCAGTTTGAACCTCTTAAAATCCCACACCAGTGCTGCAGTGGGGATAATTTTTGCAAAGCATGGCAGAAGCTGCATAGCAGAAGTACTGCTACAGGGCAGCAGGGCTGCGCAAAATCACGTATATATGCATGATTTGCATCCCCAGGTAGGGAGCACACGTGTGCATGCCGCCATATCCACGCTGCTATTGGCTGCTAGAGATGCCAATCAGCAGGTCTCAGCCGGCAATTCCCGCGATCAGCAATCCTTGGGCAAAGCTGACAGGGGAGAGACCTGTGTGTAAACAATACAAGACTCTCTCCTGTCAGCATGGACATGCTGCTTTGTGTCTCTCTAGTAAAACACACACAGCACACAGTTAACCCTTTGATCGCCCCAGATGTTAACCTCTTCCTGCCCAGTGTCATTAGTACACTGTCAGTGCTTTTTATTAGCACTGATCACTGTATTAGTGTCACTGGGGATGTCAGTGGCAGTTAGTCAGTTCCCCAGTGTCAGAATGCCCACCGCAGTCTCGCTATAAGTAATGCTGGCCGCTGCCATTACTACTATAAAAAAAAAAAAAAACCAGTATATATATACCGTCATTTGTTGACGCTATAACTTTCATGTAAACCAATGAATTTACATGTATTGGGGTTTCTTTTTAGCAAAGACATGTAGCAGAATACATTTTGGCCTAAATATATGAAGAAATTTGATTTTTTACATTTTTTATTGGGTATGTGTTGTAGCAAAAAGTAAAAAATATTGGGTTTTTTTTTTTTTTAAAAAATTGCACAGTCTTTTTTGCGTTAATAGCACAAAAAACAAACAAACGCACTTTTGTGCAGGTGATCACCAAAAAACCTACACATCCAAAATATATCTTCTAAACTTTTCGATCCTCATCGATCTTGGGGAAAAAACTTTGGACATAAATGTAATTTATGTAAAACAGAAAGACTGTTATTATAAAAAAATTTACCAATTCCTTTATGACCATTGCACTTAATTCTCAGTTGAACCAGCATAAATAAACGCAGCACGCGTAGGGCGAAAACAATACGGCCTAGTCAGTGCTGAAGCGGGTTTAAATCCCCTGGAGAGCAAGTAGTTAAAAATTGTCACGGCCAAGCATCGGAAAACGCTGTGCATTTCACATTGGTTTTTATTTTATTTGTTTTCTCGTGGCTTGGCACTTAACAAGATTGCTCTAACTGAGAAAAAGGTTTTAGCAGTTTATATAGTTACTAAAATTGCTTTTCCATGCTCTGTTTACGGGGGGACAAAGGAATGGGTTGCTGTTCTCGTGATGTGCATGCGCAAACACGCAGCACGCACTGGTGTGAACATAGAGTAACCACCCCATTCACACCATGTCGCATGATGTCAGGCATCATACATCATGTAGTAGGTTTTTGTACGCTGCCGTGCTTCGCACATATCAGCCCATTCATTTTATTGGGCCACCATACACGCAACAAACGTGGCATAGAAGCTTGTGCACGTTTTTGAGCTTCAAGCTACACAACGCACATTTCTCTGCAATTTTTTTGTGTCTTTCTTGCACTCCTGCCTGGCACTATTAACAATGACGCTACATGCATTTTTGCAAGATTTGTGACCACACACACACATGGCCTGATTTTGTGCATGTTCACACACTACACTAGTGTAAATGCAGCCCTACAGAGTCACGTTTATCCGAAGCCGCCAGCACCTTCTATCCCTCCCCCGTAAACTAAATAGCTCACTCCTGCCTGTCCACATTCATAAGGCTAAGAATCTGTAAACAAATACAAGAAAAGCCATTAACTGCGAGAGGAGGAAAAATATCTCATTTACACCACAAGCAATTGAAATATATTGCTCGTCCATTGTTACAATACAGTGTAAGTGACAGTCAAATTTGTTACCACAGCAACCACCGTTACAATGGATTCTGCCATTTCCCCAAGCGTGAGTGGGGCTGTCAAAAAATAAACAGGAACCATTAGCCCCCTACGTTGTTTTCATGGGTTTCTTTTTTTTTTCCACGATGCTCAATAGGATTCAAAAAAGTTGAACATTTATTGCGG